TCTTTGAAAACGCTTCCACATGCTTCGTTTCATGAATTGGTAGGCTAAGTAGGTTCACCAAATGGAAGTGGTTTAACCACGGTCACACAGCTAATCAGTGGCAGAGACTGAACTAGGACAGTAGTGGAGGCTTGGGAGTGAAAGATTTGGGGTGACTATATTTCTGGTTCAAATTCTGGTTTGCCATACGCTTTTGTCACCTTGGGTAAGTCATTTCATCTCTGGTTTTCTATTTCCTCATCTGTAAAATGTAGCAGATGGACAAGATGGCCTCAGAGGACTCATCCCACTCAGTATCTATGATCCTTCCATGGCATGGTTGGCTTCCAGATGAAGGTTTTGGCTTTGAAATCTCCTGGGTTCAAATATAGCTCCAGACATTTACTAACTATGTGGCCTTGGGCAAGTCACGTAGCCTCTATCTCCCTCAGTTTCCTCAACTATAAAATGGGGATAATAATAATACCTTCCTTCCAGAGTTGTTGTGGAAAATCAAATATGTGATTTTCTAAGTCAATGAGGCCCACTGGGATCTTTATGTATGGTGCAGTGGCCCCATTTCTATTGAGTTTGACCCTGGGCTATTTCACCTTTCTTGACCTCCATTCCTTCACTCATATAATGAGTATAATACTTACCTTCTTTAACTCCCAGAATGCTGGGGGAGGATCAAGTAAGGTAGTAGTTTGACCTTCTTCTGAACTGCATGGTAGTGGGAAAAAACCCAAAGTGACATTTGTTTTGTTCAGTTGTTTTTCAGTCATGTCTGACTTCTTGTGACCCCATTTGGGGCTTCCTTGGCAAAGATATTGGAGTGGTTTGCCATTTCATTCTCCTGCTTTTTTTATAGGTGAGGAAACTGAGGCAAACAGGGTAAAGTGATTTGCCCAGGGTCACACAGCTGGTTAAGTGTCTGAGGCCAGATTTGAACTCACAAAGATGAATCTTCCTGAGTCCAGGTCCTGGCATTCTATCTACTATGCCACCCAGCTGTAAAGTGCTTAACACAGTGCTAATAAACGCTTGCTTCCAAATGCCAGATGCCAAAGCTGCCCTTCCAGAAGGGGTAGATAAATGGAAGAATGAAACTTTGTCCCAAAGGCAATGGCTTCCCACCTACAAATACAAAGAATGAAGCAATCCTTGCTATCCAGGGGCTTACATCCTAATTTTCTTTTTCTTGATTCTCCCTGACCCCTTCACAGTGAGGCATTAGGAGGAAAACAATCACAGAATCCTCAGTTTCAGAGCAGAAGGGCGCCAGGAAGCTCAGCAACTCTGATCCATGTGGGTTTTAGGGGTGAGGAAACTGGGGTCCAGACACCTAAAGTCACACAGCAGGTCAGTCCCACCCCCATCAATAATCAACCAACCAAACATGTATTAGCACCAGTGCTAATACAGAAAGCAAAATAGATGTTGTCCCACGGCAGTGCACAACCTGTATAGTTCATATTCCTTTCAGAGGCACTAAGGTAAGGCTCAAGGAATATTCTTTAAATGAGTCAATGAACATAATCCCTTAAAACCAGGTTTATCCGGTTTTTAATTCTACCTCATTGGTGCAGTGGACCTGGAGGCAAGAAGACTCATCTTCCTGAGTTCAAATCTGGCCTCAGACACTTACTAGCTGTGTGACCCTGTGCAAGTCACTTCACCTTGTTTGCTTCAGTTTCCCCATCTGTAAAATAGGTTGGAGAAGGAAATGGCAAACCACTCCAGTATCATTGCCAAGAAAACTCTAGGTCATGAAGAGTCAGACATGACTGAAAAAATAACTAACTTAGAAAACCACATACTAACATTATCTATGTTCTATTGTATTTTTATTTATTTTGTTTAGCATTTCCCAATTATGTTTTAATCTGGTTCTGCGGCACTGAAGAGGGTTGCTGGCTGTATGTTCGACTCTGGTCTAGAAGCAACAGGGTATGTTATAGAAAGAGCACCATTCTTGAAAGTTAAAAAGACCTGGGTTCAAGTCTTGGCTCTCATATTTACCAGTTATGTAGCCTTGAGCAATGCTAACAATAAGCTAACACAATATATAAACAACATTTATGTACCACTTTAAGGTTTGAAAAGGACTTTACATGATCTCATTAGATGCTCACAAGTGCCTGTGAATGAAGTCCGTTAGATATCATTATCCCCATTTTACATATGAAGAAACTGAGGCTGAGAGATTAAGTGGTACAGTGGAAAGGGTGTTGGATTTGGAATTTAAAGGTGGTTATTGGTCAGTCATGTCAGACTCTCTGTGACCCCAATGGGGGCTTTTTGGGCAAAGACACTGAAATAGTTTGTCAATAAGTTTGTTTGTTAATAATAGTTTGTCCTTCTATCTCTAAATCTATGATCCTGGGACTCACCCAAAGTCACTGGACTGGTAAGTTTCTCAGTTCTCTAATTCTAGCACTCAAATCATCCCATTATGCTCACTAAACCTCTGTTTTCCCATCTGTAAAATGGGAATAATATTATTTACACCACCTACATTATAGGGTGCTGTATAAATGAGTTGTTTTTCAGTGGCTTTCCCAAGGTCCCCACAATCTTAGATACCCAATATTCCTTCTTCCACTACACCAAACAAATCAATTAAATCATTCACAGCAAGATGGTAAGGACTTAAGTTATCCCACAAAGGCACCTTGGCGCAGTGTCCTGGATTCGAAATAAGAACATCCTGGTCTAAATCCCGACTCTACCACTTCTTGCCTCTATTACCTAGAACAAATCACTTGACTTTCCTGGACCTCGGGAGTGAAATGAGATGGTTGTACTAGTTATACTAGTCTCTTTCAGCTTAAAATCTGGGATCTTTGTGATTTCCCAAATATGTGGTCCTTTTACCCAGCCTGCATGGAGAGGGGCCAATCTGCCATCTGACCCTCTGAGTACTCTCTGGGCCTCACAGATAAAGAGGTTGGAGTTCCTGATATCCAGTCACCTACCTAGTCCCTTTTTTTGCTGCCCAGTCGGTTCAGTTGTGTCCGACTCTCTGTGACCCCATTTGGGGTTTTCTTGGCAAAGACACTAGAGTGCTTTGCCATTTCCTGCTGACTTTTGCTAACGAGAAGCTACTTCCCATCCTGGAGACTATGTATTTGAGAACTAGGAAAATTTAACCTTAAGAAGAGAAGGCTTACTTACAGGGGACCTGACGGCTGTCTTCAAGAGTCTTATAGGCTGTAACATGAAAATAGGATTGTTCCCTTTTACCTCAGAGGACAGAACAAGGAAAAATGGGTAAAAGTTGCAGAGAGGAAGAGCTCAATTGGGGGGTGGGGGGGACTTTTAAAAAATTTTCTTGTTGTTGTTCAACCATTTTTTCAGTTGTATCCAATTCTCCCTGACCCCATTTGGGGTTTTCTTGGCCAAGTTACTCAAATGGTTTGCCATTTCCTTTTCCAGCTCATTTTACAGATGAGGAAACTGAGGCAAATAGGGTGAAGTGACTTGCTCAGGGTCACACAGTTAGAAAGTATCTGAGGCCAGATTGAAACTCAGGAAAACGGGTCTTCCTATAGAGGTAGCTAAAATGTTATGGACTGCACTGAGGAACAACAAGTTCTCCATCACTGGAGGTCTTTGAGTGGAAGCTAGATGACTCTGTGTCAGAGGTACCATAGAAGAGATTCCTGCTCAGATTCAAATGGGGCTCAATAGCTACTGAGGCCACTTTCAGTACAAAGATATTATGATTCTGTGAGACTCCATAGGCTGTACTGGTGAGTTCCCATCAAGAAACCCAAAGATTCAATTCAAAACACAAGGACAGAGAAGCCTCGGAAGAAGGGAATCTTGACTTCTCCTTCCAAGGAGAAATTAGCCAACCTTAGAAATAACTTTTCTAATGGTCAGGAACCCCTTAATTTTCTGGGAATAGAAGAGAATGCTAATTTCACTCATTTGAGAGCCATTTCATGTTCTTTTTGGGTAGACACACTGGTGAAATTAGAAGGGGATTGCTTCCAGGATTACAAAATGTCAGAGCGACACAGAATGTTGGAGCTCAGGACAAGGTCTTAGGATACAGAACATGAGAAATGGAAGGGATCCTAGAACTTAAGTCAGATACGTAAGGCCCCTTAGAACACAGAACATTTAAGTCCAAAGATATATTGCTGTTGTTGAGTTGTTTCAGTCATATCTGACTCTTCATGACCCCATTTAAGGTTTTCTTGGCAAAGATACTGGAGTGGTTTGTTATATCCTTCTCCAACTCATTTTACAGATGAGGATACTGAGGCAAACAGGGTAAAGTGACTTGACCAGAGTCACACACCTAGTAAGTGTCTGAGGCCAGATTGGAACTCAGGAAGATGAGTCTTCCTGGCTCCAGACCTGATGCTCGAACCACTGTACTGCTTGGTTGCCCAAAAATATACTAGAGATTACCTAGTTCAAACAGCCTTAACTTTGTGTGTGTGTGTGTGTGTGTGTGTGTATGTGTGATGAACTCTTCTGGCAATCTGGCAAAGACCCCTTCTTAGAATCGTTTTTAAACACATTAAATAAAATATAGAGAATTACAGAGGAAACTAGTTACATTCAAATATATTTATGCATTAAAAAAAAAAAAAGTTCATGAGTCCTAGGTTAAGAAGCCCTAATCCTAGTCTAACTCAAGGAAGAAATTGAGGCCCATAGAGATGAAATGACTTGCCCAAGGTCACACAACTTGTCAGGGTAAGAGCTGAGACTTGAACCCAAATCTGTCCACCCTTAGTCCAGTGCATTTCTACTATAGCACAGAAAGGTTTCAAGCATCTATTAAGAAAAGTACCCAAGAATAGGGAAGACAATAAGCAACGATAATTAAGCTTCCCCCACTCAAGAAAACAAGTCACCACTAATTAATTAAAAAGAACTCCTAAGCAGAGATCCTGCCCTTAATCTTCCTTCCTTCTCTCCTCCACCCCACCCCCCACTTCCCTCAATAACCCAGAAGAAACCACAACCCCATTGGAAAATCAGCAAAGTGCCTACTGTACCTGTCCTCGGAGGCAGAGACAGTGAGTACTGCTGCAATGTGCTTCAGAAGATGTGACAGCTGATGGGACGGAGGAAGATATCCAGGAAGAGGCCAGGCCTGCCCAAGCACAGATGACGGGCTGTGAATGAGCAAACCCATGACTCTGGCCAGCTCCCTCCCCGCTGGGCCCCATGCTCTGACTCATCTCTATCGTCATGCCTTCTTCCTCCTTTCCTGTGGCAGCTTGTCCTCCTCGTTCTTCTAGGGGGAAGGGTCCCCTTCAAGGACATGGACCACAGAGAGAGGCTGGAGCTCCCGATATCCTGTTATCTAACCCTCTGGAGCAAACAGATACACAGGCCTAGCTTCCCTGTCTCCAGGCTCCCTGGATTTCTTTGACGTTCTGGCCCAAGGGAAGCATAGGCAGCACCAAGGTCCCCCAGTCTTACACAGCTGCCTTCCCAGGCAGACAAACCTGCCTGATGAGCCTGGGTGGGGACGGAACTGGTTTGACTTCCTAACTGTGGGAAGAACAAGCTGGCCTATTTGGGAACAAATGGAATAGGAAAGGAAGGAGAGGCGGGTTAGGGGTCTTTGTGTGTACAGCAGTAAAGAAAAACTTCCTTGGAAGATTGGGTCTATGGTAGCTCCCTCTTGGTGAGCCATGGAGGACCATGGGCTCTCTCAGGCAATGTATCTGGGAATTCTAGTTTCAGCTCTTCCACTAACTGGCTATATGAAATTGGGCAACTCATTTCCCTTCTCTGGGTCTCAGAGCATCTCTAATCCCTTACCTTCTTGGAGGCAAATGACTATGACTATTAGGGTGACTTCCAATTCTAAATTCAAAGATTTAATTATCTAGTACTTTCACATAGAAGTCTTGATTCTTTATGACCAACCAGTGGAGATGACAGACAGGGTCTCACTCCTATTTGAAGGATGAAGAAACTAAGGCCCAGACAAGTTAAGAGACTTGCTCCATATCACAGAGTAAGGCCAATCTAGAACCTAGGTCATGTCTTATATTATACTACCTCCTTCAGATGGATTATATAGCCTCGGGCAGAAGAGTTAAAAAAGAGGTTTCCACATCTTTGTCCCTCCCTCAATATATCAGAAACAAACCTGAATATGTTGGTAGTAAATAAGATGCCCTGACATTCAATTCAATCCAACCAACACTTTTTTCCCATATTAGTCATGTTGTGAATGAAAACACAAACCCTCCAAAAAAAAAGGCCATGAAAAAAATAAAGTGAAAAATAGTATGTTTCAATCTACATTCAAACTCCATCAGTTCTTTTTTCTGGAGGTGGATAGCATTTTTCATCATGAGTACTTTGGAATTGTCTTGGATCATTGTATTGCTGAGAACAGTTAAATCATTCACAGGTGATCATTGTACAATATTGCTGTTACTGTGTATAATGTTCTCCTGGTTGTGCCCACTTCACTTTGCATCAGTTCATGTAAGTCTTTCCAAGTGTTTCCGAAATCATTCTCCTTATCATTTCTTAGAGCACAACAGTATTCCAATACATTCATATACCACAACTTGTTCAGTCATTCCCCAACTGATGGGTATCCTCTCAATTTCCAATTCTTTTCCACCACAAAAAGAGCTACTATAGATATTTTTTTGTACAAATAGGTCCTTTCCCCCTAATTTAAAAAATCTCTTTGGGATACAGACCTAGTGGTGGTATTGCTGGATCAAAGGGTATGCATAGTTTTATGGCCCTTTGGATATAGTTTCAAATTGCTCTCCAGAATCAACCAATACTTATTAAGCACCTACAATGTGCTAAGTTGGCAGTCTTCCTAAGTAGAAGATATTTTTACATAGGGAATTCATTAGACTGATGAAATCACAGGTTTGGACGAAAATACATACATACATATATATATATTTTGGCTGGGTTCTAGGGATACAAAGAAGAAAAGCAACATAGTTTTTGTTCTCAAAAAAACTCACATTTTAATAAGACGAATCTATTTCATGTCAGATATATATAGTAGGAGTCACAATTGAGAAAGGCATAAGATTGGATGATCCTCTTATTATGAAGGATGACACAGCAAAGTGTAGTGGAAAGAGGCTTTCCAGGCAATATGTCCAAGGTCAAAGGGAGCTCCTCACATTACTTTTGAAAAACAAAAAATAGAGCCAAATGTGACAGCACATGCCCGTCATTGCTTGAGTTCAAAAGTTCAGAGCTTCAGTAGGGCTAAAGACAGTTGGACATCCACACTAAGTCCAGTGCCAATATGGTGAGAATCTGGGAACAGAGAGGCACCGGGATGCTCAAAGAGAGGTAAAGCAGCTCAGGTTGGAAATAAAAGAAGTCAAAGTTCTCATGCAAATCAATAGTGGGATCAGGCCCATGAGTAAGTAGCCACTGCACTTCCAACCTGAGTGAGAAAGAAAGGCCTAGTCAAAGGAAAGAAGAGAAAAGAAAAAGAAAAGAAAGGAGTAAATAAGAGAAGAGAAAAGAAAAAAGAAGAGAAGAGAAAAGAAAAAACAATGAATAGAAACAAACAAATACCAAAGAGAGGGAAAAAAGCTAAACCCAATGAAAATCCACCAAAATTGGAATGAGCAAAGTCACAAAAAATGCTAGACCAATACACATTTTGGAAGCGATAAAAATAGCTAAAGGATGAGGAACTACACAGATGAAAAAAGAACTTTATAGAAAGAGATATTACAAATGGATAAATAGCACACTTAAATAAATTAAGCAAGAATTAGCATGAGTAAGAAAGTCATAAGAATAAAAATTAAATCTTAAGGAAAAGGATTTTTTTCTTTGTTGTTGGGTTTTTTTAATCACAGGAAGAACAAAAGCTCAAATTAAAAGAGGCTTTTAAAAACTAGGAAATAATGAAGAAAATGAGCAATATAAAGAATTTAATAGAAAATTTCAAAAAATCCTACAGAAGTAGCCAACAAAGGACATTGTAGTCAAAGAAACAGATTGCACGCAAATACAGGGCTACTGGAAATACAAGCTCAAAAATCACAAAATTATCCAAAGAACTAGAAAATATACAGACTCAATGATGACCCTAGAGGATGGTTTTCCTCAGTATTCTTAACACTCCAGAACATTTAGCAAAATAAAATAATCTAAACACCATATTCCAGGACATTTTTTGGGGGTGGGGGAGGCAATTGGAGTTAAGTGACTTGCCCAGGGTCACACAGCCAGTAAGTGTCAAGTGTCTGGTCTAAGACCAGATTTGAACTTAGGTCCTCCTGAATCCAGGGCCAGTGCTCTATCCACTGCATCACCTAGCTGCCCCTTCAGGACATTTTCAAGAAAATATTTTTTACTTAGAAAAAACAAGCACTACAATACAAACAGAAATAATCCATAGGACTACAACAAAAAAGAATCCATTATTGAAAACACCAAGAAACATTATGATTAAACTTCAACATTCCAATGATAAAGGAAAAGTACTTTAAGCTGCCAGAAGAAATAAGGAACTCACTTTCCAAAGAACAATAGGATCACAGTGCACTTTTCGGGGAAGACAAGGGACAATCAGATTAACCAGAGTACAATAGAGACAAAATTAAGAAGCATGGACTTAAAACCTAGAATTATTTACCTAAAAATATTCACTATACATAGTGAAAACAAGAGCTGGATATTTGAGAAGCAGATTTTGAAAATGTTATGGAGAGGCACATATACTTCAAGAAAACCTTTGAAAAATAGTTAAGCCCCTGAGCCAAAACTGAAAGTGTTTCAAACAATCCATACTTGTTAAATCAAGATAAACCAGTTGCTAACAAAATGTGAGCTACATCAGGGCTACATCTGGATCACTAAATGATTCAGAAAGCTTTAGAGAAACAGAGGAAAAGGGAAGGAGGGACAGAAAGGGGGAAGGAAAAGGGCATAGGGTAATCCCAAAGTGAAGTTCTCATCATTAATAAGTGGGAAGTCCCATTTAGAGAAAATGACATTGTTAATAACATAAGTGGTTTATAGTGGTCCAGTTAAACCTAGGTTGAATCCTACAAAAACTAACAATGAGAAAGAACATATTCTCTGTTGGAAAAACCGAAGAAAATACAAATTTTATGAGTGTTATGCTAAATGTAAACTGATGAAACTCTCCAATAAAATGAACAAAACTCATGGAATGGATTTATTTTTTAAACCTAGAATCCTAAAATATACTGTTTAAAGAAAATCCACTTAAACACATTTAATACCCTAGGGGATCCTGAGATTTTCCATGTGCTCTGTAGCTACACTACAGACTTTTGGGTTTCCTATCTATCCTGAAGCTGAATTCTCTTTAAGTCTTGTTTCCCTCCCTGCAGTTCCTCCCCCCACCCCATTAGAATGTGAGGACCCTGAGAAAAGAGACTCTTCAGTTTTTTTCCTGTTTGTATCCTCCAGTATGTAGTACAATGCTTGGCTATTTTTTAATCCATTCATTCAATATAGAAAGATTTAAATAGATTCCAAATGAAAGGGTCAACATAGAATTGTAGAATTTTAATGTCAGAAGGAATCTCAATGGCAATCTACTTGAAAGTTAAGAAACTCCTACACAACATACTTGAACCAGATCTACAATTTCCTTGGTGTAGGAAGCTTCTTGTGGGGAAACGCCCTCCCCATCAGCTTCTACTCTACAATTTATAGTTGTACATACATACTAGGTACTTGACAAGTGGGAATTCATCTCTGCTTTTAGAGCACTAGCAAAGGGAACCCAACTCTCTTCCAAGGAAGCCCACCACACTTTGGGGATTACTTTTAAGTTTTTCTTTACTTAAAACTTGAGTTTTCTTCTTTGCAACTTTTATCCTTTGCTTCTAATTCTACTCCCTGGATTTAAGGAGAACAAGATGGCTACTAGGATTTCAAGTATTTGAGGCAGCTCTTCTATCTTTCCTAAGACTTCTCCAGGCTATACATATTCAGCTCCCTCAAATGATTCCCATATGTTATGAACTTGCCATTCACCATCTTCGTCCCTATCCTTTGGATCTCTTCTTCCTTATCCATGTCCTTCTTAAAATGGTGATCAGAATGGAACACCATACTCCAGATGTGAATGGACTAGGACAGAGTACAATGGGACGATATTTCCTTCATATTCCTGAATGCTATGCCATTCTTAATGTGTAGC